ACTGTTTACTTTCAAATCTTTAGTTGTTCTCAGTGTTGTGGCTTTCTTTATCTAACTCTAAAGAAAATGGTGCATCCTGGAGGTCTGATTTGGCAGAGGGAAGCACAGGTCATTTCTGAAGGAAAGAATGCAGTCATGCCTCTTCTCAGGGAAAAACTCGGTCGAATCCCTCAAATTCTTTGAGGAATTCAAAGCCAAAAGCATGTGGGTCTTATTCTCTCAGTGGCAGGTTTAATACTTGAGAGTAAAAATAAAAAAATTACCATCTGTCCCGACATTTCAAGGTGGTGAAACAGCAGAAATGCTAGTGCTAATAACTAACTCCTTTCTTTTCAGGATACTTAGAAAACTTTATCATGGTTAAAATTATTTTAACATTTAAACATGAAGTACACTCAATACATTATCCTCTTTTCTCATGTTTAGTTTTTAATGTTGAGGGCCATCTGAGTCTACACAATTTACAGCAGTGGTTCTTAAACTTTTTGAACTTATGACCCCTTCATGGATCATAAAAATTACTGGGGACCCCAAAGAACCTTCATTTATGTGAATGTTTTCTTTCAGTTTTTACTGCATTAGAAATAAAAACTGGGGGGGGGGGAAGTGAAAAGACTTACTTTTTCACTTAATTCAAACAATAAATCTGTTATATATCAACATTTTTAAAATGAGAAAACTAATGGTGTTTTCAAAAAGAAAAAGAGAGGAGGAGGGAAGAGTAACATTGTTTTACATTTTTGTAACTCTCCTAATGTCTGCCTTTTTAGGTGAAACCTGGAGCTTTAATTGTTTGATATGTGGGTTGACATACGCAAAGATTGGAAAAGTGAGACCTATACTCAGTTGGAAAAGTAAAGGGCCTCAAAAATGTCCCGAAGGGGTTCCTGGACCACACTTAGAGAACCGCTGACTTAAGGACTGGTTGGTGTCACGGAGGATGTTTGTTTAAGGGCCCTCGGGACTGGCATGAAAATGGGTGCCAGCCATACTATCAGCTGCATGCCAGCCCACACTGTCCTGCCAGGGAAGATAAACAGCAGAAGATGGCGGCCTGCCCCTTCTCTGCTTATTCCTCCCCTCCACACGAAAACTTAGACAACTTCATTTTTCCTTAAAAGAAGAGCAGGATTAAAGAGCTTTCCTCTGACCATTTCATTCTGCTCTGAGCAGAGGCGGCAGGCAGGTCAGAGAAGCTCTCTGGCAGATAGTCACGGAAAATGAAAATGGTGAACAAGAGCAGAAAACTGGCATTTGTTCCAATTCACAGCTTTATTTCAAAACTCCCCAGTTATGGCCAAGTGGATTCATGGCTATCCTGTTTTGGCAAGAAATTTGCAGAAATTATTACAATGATCTTGATCTAAAGGCAAACTTCTCGGTCTTCATGGGAGGTGGGATAGAGTGGTCCTGTTTCCTAAGGCCCTCAGGATCTGGGTCACAGCAGAAGCAGGAGCCGCAGCTCTACATGGGGGCTGCTCTGGCTATGAGCCCAGGCTGAGCTCTCCCGGCTTTGAGGGTAGCCCAGGAGGAGATGACTGTAGTGTTGGAGGCACCAATTTCAAAGTCAGATTAAAACAGTCATAAAACTCATGAGCCAGAGAAATTAATTGCTAGAAACAATGAGAAACTTTATGGTGAATATATTGGACCTTTTACTAGACGTGCTCAAGCACCCAGTCCCTCTAACCTTTTCCCCAGAGAAAGGAGACTTTCCTGCTGCTCTTTTCCAGCTATTGGAGAATCGTCTCAGAACACAGTGTGTTGGTGGCAGCGGCTGAGAGAAAAGCCTGATCTGACGCACTGGCAAGGCGACTGCATGCTGCCAGACGTCCACCTGAGCTCGGCACTCACCTCGTTGAAATGGACGTCCTGCATCCCAACGTCTTCCATCATGGAGGCTTCTTCTTCTATGTTGGGGGTGATGACCCTGAAAGCTGTGCACCCCTGTCTACACATGCCTAGAGATTGAGAGAACAGGGGAGAGAGCCAGAGTTATTCCCCTGCACGTGGGTGAATCTCGAGGGTTCTTCCTGCCCTGTGAGCCTCTGTGCTAAATGAATGACTTTGAAATCTCTTCAGTGTCAGCCCAGCATTCACAAGGGCACCTGGCAGCCACTGTGAATTTTTCTTTTCCTTCTGTTTTTTTTTTAAGAGACAGAGTCTCACTTGTCACCCTTAGTAGAGTGGCATGGCGTTACAGCTCA